CAGCTTTGTGAGTGTCATCTATTTTCAGTTTCAGTTTTCAAGACAACTGCTTAGAAGAACCCATGGTGCTGATTGTTGGGGCAAGGTCAGATGAGTCTGGGCATTTAAAACCTTTGAGATTGACATAACCTGGTCTTCCCAGACGATGATTGAGAACAATCCATGACACTGGCAGGTCTCAGCTTTGCAAAGGGGGCAGTGCATGCTATAAATTCTGCAGGGTGTCCAAACTTTTGCAGACGCCATTTTTTTGTTTTCTGTTATTTTGAAAGTGTAAATGATGGAAATAAAATCTAACTTTTGTTGATATATTATAAGAATGTCTAATCTGTAATTTGATGCCTTTTGGAGATTTTTCCATCTTTCCTTGGCTTCTTTATGCACATTAATACAAATTTTTAGCTGGGGTGCCCAAACTTTCGATCCCCACTGTATATGAGTCTTATACAAAATATTAATCATTCTGTTCAGTCACTCTTGTAATTTAGGCGCCAATGCCAGACTGCATATTTCCTTCAGTAACTCACTCTTCTCCGCAGGAAATACGGCAGTGTAGGAGACACAGCCCGGTAGTCCATTACAAAGAGGTCAATGACCACGTGTAATCTGCAAAAGCTAATGCATGAGGTTACATGGTGTGTTGTGTTTAAAGGCAGCTAAACACTGCCTTTGGGCACAATAACGCTGCGTGCTAATGGCCGTGTACAAACTCCACAGAAATGCCAACCTTGACCCCGGGTTTTTGGATAAGTGGTTATGTGTCTACAGAAGCTGTGCCAACCACTGTTTTGTGCAAATCTGACAGCCCTTCGCTGACAGCAACAGCTGACTACACAATGAATGAGCAGACAACCTCCCCTGGCCACGTGAATGCAGCCTATTTAGGAAAAACAACATAGTAAGCATTAGGCTGCATTTCTTATGATGCTTGTCACTGTGAGCATTTAGTCTTGCAAAGAAAACGAGTACAGAAGATAGACACCATTTTGTAAAGTGTATGCACAGCTAAAACGTTTTCTTTTCATTTTGGGTAGAGTAGAGAAAGGCTAGATCCCCTGTCTGCATATACTGCTATCCTGGGCTCTGTTACTGGCGACATTTTATCAGAGAGGAAGTGAGGGGAACTCTCCAATAGCAACACAGACAAAAAAAAAAAACAGAAAATTGTATCAAAAATTTACTGTAATTTTCCTTTCCTGGCGCCAATCTATGGAAGCATGCACGTGGTTGTAGTAGCTCTGCCTACTTCCATCCACAATACCAGTGTGTATCTATAAAGATTGATGCCCACACAAAAGCCCATTCTCTGTACATAGCTCGGAGCGAACTTATTGGGTTTTGTAAGTTGCCATGGATTGGTGCCAGGAAAGGAAAATTAAAGTAAGACCCCATTCACTTCATATGTGCACAAAAACTGATGGAAACTGACATGCAGATCTCACTTGCAGAGACATCAGTTTTCATGTGGGCTTCATTGAGTTTTTTTATGCATTGCAGAGTCCTGAGCAGAACAAAATCTGCACGATGCTAGATTTGCGGTGTGAACAGGGCACATAGAGAACAATTGATTTTGTAGAACACGTGCAGAAAAACTGACGTCCCTGCACCATGGTGTGAATGAGGGCTAAGTATTTGAAACAATTTTCCATTTTCCTTGCACCACCATGACAGCTTACATATGGTAAACCAATAACTAGCTACCAGGGTGGGAGGCTTAAAGTGGTAGTAAATCCCCATTGTTTACTAAAGACCTACCAGTATGCCTAAAATAATGCTCACCTGCAGGTACAGTAAATATCTTCTAAGAGTGCACTGTGTAGGAGATATTTACTATAGCAGCAGCCAGTGACGTCACCAGCGCATGCACACTGCGCTCTCAATGGATGGCGTGCCGTCCATTGAGAGAGCCAAGATTCCCCTGCGCATGTGTGGAGGTGACGTCATCACAGCTTGGCCAGTCAAACAGACCAAGCCCATGAACCTGGAAGGAGAACCAGGTGAATATGGAAGCGCCTACAATGGTAACAGCACACCGCTGGAGGGTTTCGTTTTCAGCTAAGTCTTTTATAACGTGCTAGTAGCTAGGGCAGTGGAGTCACAAAGTCAAAATGCAAAAAGGAAAGCACACTTAGGTATTTTTGGGGTAGTAAAAGTGCTAAGTCCCAAAAGGAATATGTCTGCTTGAAAAGACTATCGATACTCCTTATGAGTTTAAGATATTAACTCTTGCACTGTAAAAAAACAAAAAAAAAACAGCGAGAGAGCTGCCATCTAAGTGTAGATTCATTTGAAACAATAAAAAGAAGTTAAAAATTGCACTCACATTGTATAAAATATTTTTTTTTTCTCTTTGAGGCTGACGGTGTGCTCCACATGGGTTCCTACGGAAGGTCCCGATTATCACGGCTTCCTGCTCCGGCTCTACAATCTCCAGCCATGTGTCCAGCACCTGTCACTCTGCTGTACCCTGCCCTGCCAAGCTCTGCCGATACCAGAGGACTAGTAATGATTGTTTACAATGTGAGTGCAATTTTTTAAATAAATTTACACTGACATGGCAGCGACTGCTGTTTCATTTGTTTTTAATGTCTGTATCTAGTGCTGTATATTCTCCTCATGTTTGTGTTACCTCTCACTATCCAAAAAACATACCAGTAGGTTAATTTGTCTCCATGGAAATTGGCCTGAGAGATACATTGTGTCAACATTTACAAATTAACAATATAAATAATACTAATCAAGTGGCACTAACTTGTTAGAATGTGCAAAAGGCACTGTCGTACTCCCTTCTGGGACCAAGCAACTGCTCCGCACTCTTCTAAGACCCAGCCCCTACTACCATGCTCTCCTCTGGGAACAACAGTAATTACTGCCACACTACTACCCTCACAAACAAAGGATTTCCCAGCACCCTTACCAGCCAGCCTGCAAAACAACCACTTGTACACATTTGTAAATACATGCGCAAGTTGCAGTCCCACGTCAAGAGTTTTTGTATACTGCAGGCCTAACTCTAACATTTCCAGAGTTAGGCCCACAGCATACAGACAATCGTTTGTTTGAAATGTGCATTGCCCTTCCATGGGCACCTTGTGGCTAAGACTGGTTATAGGTTGGGACAGTTGCCTTTTTTTCACACAACTACTCTGCCCACTTCTGAAACCCAGTTCTGAGAAGACTTGCTCATTTCTAGGACCCTGTCCCTAACGCCTTGTTCTTCTATGCCACCCAGCTCCTAGTGTCCTGCTCTTCTTCAAAACTCATTCTAATTACTCCACTGTCCTCTAAGACCAAACTCCAATTACTCTGCTCTTCTCCAGATCCCAGCTGCTAAACTCTTGCTCACCTAAGCCACCCAGCTACTAGTGCTCTGCTCTCATTCAGGATCTAGCTACTACTATACTATCCTGCTCTCTAAAGAGAACCACCCCTACTGCCCTGCTCTCCTTGAGGTTTACTACCTTGCATTCCGCAAGACCCAGTTTTGACTACCCTTCTCTCCTGCAGGACCCAGCTCAGATTGACCTGATCTCCTCTACAAATCTAGCTTCTACTGCCCTAGACTCTTCTGGGAAACAGTTGCTAATACTTTGCGCTTCTCGGAACCTAAGCATCAAGTACCCTGCTCTCCAACTGCCCTGCTGTCCTCCAAGAGCCAGCAATAATTATCTGCTTACCTTCAAGACCCAGATCTAATTACTATTCTTTCCTCCAGCCTCCTAGCTTCTAATGCTCTGCTCTCCTCAAAACCCATAGCTTCAAATGCCCTACTTCGCTAATGGAAATAACATCTACTGCCGTGGTCACCTTGAGGGCTCAGCTCCTACTTGCCTGATCTTCACCACGACTTAGCTCTTAATACCCTGCTCACTTCCTAGACCCAGCTCTTTCTGCCCTGCTTTTCTTAAGGACCCAAATCCTACTGCTCTATTGTTCTCCAGGAGCCATCTCCTACTACCCTGCTCTTCTCCAGGAGCCATTTCCTACTACCCTGCTGTTCTCTAAGACCCAGCTTCTACTGCCTGATCCCCTCGAAGAACCAGCTTCTACTGCCTGACCTCCTCCGAGACCCAGCTTATATACCCACCTCTCCTTTGTTCTTTGCTCCTGCTTCTCTGATCTCCACTCTTGTTCAAACACCTTGATCCTATTTTTCCTGTTCTTCTCCAAAACCATGTCCTGCTCTTTTACACTGTAAGGCTGGCTCTGCACATTTGCATTTTAGCAACGTGCGTTTTAAAGCATGATAGGGAGCAGGTATGAGTTTATTCTGAGTTGCACTCCATTGAACATATACAATAAAGAAAAACACTAATGTGCTATATTGCACAACACAAATAAGTGTTCGATGGTGTGGTGTTACCAAATATAGTGCAGGTGTACTTCTATGTGAATGCCCACAGCTTATCCACAAATTAACTTTAAAGCTCTATAATCAACAGGCTTCTTTTAAGAGTAAGAATAAACATGGAAACATTTGAAGAGTTTTCAGTCCTATTCACTGGCTGTTAATGCAAGCAAATGTATTTCATGTGCAATATACTGCATTTCCTTCAAAGTAGTTTTGGGTCCTGAATGAAACATTTAAAGCTATATAGTATAGCAAAACACATTACCTTAAATGAAGAACAGTTGGACTTATCTGAACCCTTACAGGAAGGATAGAGATTTACATACATCTTCAGCAGTCTACATCTCTAGATTTACTGACTGTTTTCATATGTAATGTGGTTACTATGGTTATGGACTTTTCATCATCTTCTCAGTTTGAATTGCCTAGTTCCGTGATGCATTTGCTTTAATGTGAGGACTGCATATAAATAAAAGGAAATATAATTTATATGTAATGACCAGCATAAACAACATAAACCTTTAACTTTTATTAAAAATGATATTTACTTGCAATTGTAAAAAAATATTTGTTCTTTAAAATATGTTTCATGTAGTGGTAATTATATGTAATTAAATTAATCTTCAATTTCTAGTTCTCTAGGTTAAAGTTATAATTGTGATTTTGGTTTATTGGAGGCAATTGCACCGGAAGCCTGAAGATCAGAAATTTCTTTAGCGGAAAAGCCATTTTCAGAGAGTATTTCATATGTGTTCTCTCCAAGGAAAGGATCTCTGCCCATTGCAGGAATAGCGGGTGTTCTGGAAAGGACAGGCGCTGGCCTCGGGCTCACTTCCCCTTCATCGTTGCAGACAAAAGAACCTCGTTCTTTATTGTGAGGGTGTGCCGCTACGTTGTCAAAGGTCAGAACGGGCGTCACGCAGGCATCGGTGCCGTCAAACACCTCACACCACTGTTCTTGTGTCTTTTCCAAGAATCTTTCAGTAAATATCTTCTTCAGTTTGGGCCAATCGGTGAAGCTCATCTGACTAGGGAGGTCAGAGGGGTCAAGGTCTAGACCTGCAGGGAACCAGACAATAGGATATACATCACCACATGATGTGCTAAATACTGCAATTATACAGGTTTACTTACATAATACCGTAGATCAAGAATTTTCAATTTTATTAATGATAACCTGTAATAAGTAAACTATAGACTGCTATTGCTGACCTCACCTTCTGAAAATGCTAGTTGCATGGTCTGTCATGCTGATCCATCGAAAATAGGAAAAAATTAGCCGCACTCCAATTAGCTCTTCTTGCAGTATTTTTAATAATCAGTGCACTGACTGCATATAGTAACATCTCCAACCCTTCAAAACCAGGATTGACACATTTCACAACTCCTGGCTTGCCCACAAGGATAGGGGAAGTCAGGAGTGGTGAAACACATCAAGGAATGCTGGTTTTGGGTTGGTGACATCACTGTACGCAGTCAATGCACTGATTATAAAAAAAATACTGCAGGAAGAGCTAATTGAAGTGCGGCTGATTTTTTCCTATTTTCAGGAAAGAATGGAGACAAACTGTGATGGCCGGCACTCTGGTTGTCCATGTGCAGGAGAGGCCAGTCTTCAGTGGAGCTCTGGATATGTGTGTGTTTTTCTATGATGATCCGCTGCTTCAATACTTTGAGTTACTATAACTTCACTAGTTTTTTTGCTCTTGTACCACAGCAGTTATTGAAACCAAAGACAGCTGGCATGTTCTAAGTTCAATGGTAGTCTTCATATTATCTTAGTACTGTTTTCCTTTAAAGGGTTAGTTCACCTTTTCCTACAAAAAGTTTATGTAGGTGGTGCCTGTAGATAAAAACAAACTGTGCAGCTTTGGCTAGAGTTGGATAATGCTCTTACCATAGGTGAAGGCCATTTAAGTACCTCCTGAAGTCTGACTGAAAATCATCCTGCCTTGATACTAGGATGTTGCAAAGACACTCCCAGCTCTTACTAGTCACTCCCTCCATCACAAGAATGAGCTCTAAAACCCCTGCACATGTGGTCCACTACCTTCTCTGTTGCAACATAGCTGAACTAAAAGCAACTGTGACAGGGGACCAAGAGCACATGTAAGGGAGTTTGAATTGGTTGGGAGTGCCTTAGCAAATCCCTAGAACCAAGGCACGGATTTTTTTGGCCAGCCTTCAGAGGTACATAAATGGTCAATACCTATAGTTAGTACATTATTTTGTTTTAGTCAAAGCTGCACAGTTTGTTTTAATCTACAGGCACCCCTTACCTCCATAGGCAGTTTTTTTGGTAAAGTTAGACTAGCCCATTAATTCCTTTTATTAAAGAAGAACTAGTCTTAAATTAAAAAAACGTGAGCAGACAGGCTCTTTGTTGCAGATGAGACATTGTCTCTTCTGCAATAAAAATAAACCTGCCTTCTGTCTTCTTTAAAATGTACACTGGGCAGTGTGCCAAAAAGAATGAACTCCTGTGCATGCATGGTACGGATGTCATGCCGTGTTGCCCAATAAAGATGGTCAAAGACCAACTCCAGGAAGGCTGGAAGTGGGACTTCAGGGACGTCAGACAGTTGAAACAGAGGTAAGTTCTGCAGACTTTAGCTGCTTTCCAAGTACCCCCAGTTATGAGATATCAAAGATCAAGTACCCCTTAACATAGAAACATTGATCACCAGTAACTAGTTAGTTATCTTCAAATGGTTCCCAAACAATCTATTACAATTGATTCACAAATTCTTAACACAAGAGGGGGGTATTTGTTTCAGCTTTGTTCAAATGTTCGGCTTTCGTTCAAACATTCAGAGAAAAAAATTGTTCCTCAGAACATTCTTTCTTGTCATCATTGCGTTAACTAACTTCGTTCAAAAGCCCTTAAAATTTCATTCAGACTTGCTGTTTGATGGAATCCAAGAAGTAAAACAGGTTGCATTGCAGTATGTACAATACAATACAAACAAAAATCATATTCACAGAAAAAAACAATAATTTGACACCACCAACCATTAGAAAATCAAATAAATTTAGACTGAATCCTAAAATTAATAACAACTGATAATATACTAATAAAACAAATGCTAGATCTAAAACTAATAATAATAAGCAAAACTAATATTACTAAGCCAAAACTAATACTAAAGCAAATGAAAAAATCAGACTCGTGTATTTATTCTGAATGGAGCGTATTTCACCATTTCTACTAAGAAAATAGACACAAATACAAAACACTAACATTTACTATATACATAATGCATACATGACTTACACTGCATGTAAACATGGGTTCAGCATGGATTACAAGTGAATACATGAATACTACAGACTCGGAACTACTACATATGACTGACTGAGACAGTCGAAAATGTATTTGTATTGGGTTTTTTTTTCTCCTTTTCCAACAATGTTCCATCTGATAAAGCAGAGGAACTTCTGAGCTTCAGCCAAAGAATCTTAAGCTTTTAGATCCATAAGAAAAACCATAAAGCATGCTCAATTTAGCTATTAAATAGAGCAAGAAGACCATGCTATGTGTCACACGATAAGCCTTTTGTCTCAGGGGGAGGCTATTACAGAGTAGACTAAACGTGTGCTGTTCCAAATAGATAAAGATGAAGCATAAACTGTAAAGGTCAGTTCAAGCTGTCTGGTAATTTTGTTGACATGTATTTTCTGTATAATTGTTCGGTTGTTTCGTAAAAGATCACAACTGGATTTCACGGAAACATACCAGGAACCATAAAAGTCAGCGGGAAGGCAGAATCTAATAATCAAGCTTTCTAGTAGAGGGTTGGGTAACAGCACTTATAGGTTTAAAGGAAGGTTGCATCTTTGATAATAAAATTGATACAACATACAGTTGTGTTCAAAATAATAGCAGTGTGTTGAAAAAAGTGAATAAAGCTCAAAATCCTTCTAAATAGCTTTTTATTTCCATACACACAAATGCATTGGGAACACTACACATTCTATTCCAAATCAAAACATGAAGAAAAATATATCAAATTTGTGTTGTTCCTCTAAAAAAATTGAAGAAAAGTGAATGTTAGACTGTTCAAAAAATAGCAGTGTTTGTATTCTTCTTTTACAAACTCAAACATTCACTATATAAACTGAAAAATGTTTGAAGATTTTGCTTTCCTTTGAATCACTTAATGAATATTTAGTTGTATAAGCACTGTTTCTGAGAACTGCTGTACATCTGTGTTGCATGGAGTCAACCAACTTCTGACACCTGGATGATTGGACTACATTCCACAGTTCTTTATTTCTTGGTTTTGCCTCAGAAACTGCATTTTTGGTGTCACCCCACAAGTTTTCTATTAGATTAAGATCCGGGGATTGGGCTGGCCACTCCGTAACGTCAATCTTGTTGGTCTGGAACTAAGATGTTGCACGTTTACTGGTGTGTTTGGGGTCGTTGTCTTGTTGGAACACCCATTTCAAGGGCATTTCCTCTTCAGCATAAGGCAGCATGACCTCTTCAAGTATTCTGATGTATTCAAGCTGATCCATGATCCCTGGTATGCGATAAATAGGCCCAACACCGTAGTATGAGAAACATCCCCATATCATGATGCTTGCGCCACCATGCTTCACTGTCTTCACAGTGTACTGTGGCTTGAATTTAGTGCTTGGGGGTCGTCTGACAAACTGTCTCCGGCCACTAGACCCAAAAAGAACAATCTTACTTTCATCAGTCCACAAAATGTTGCACCATTTCTCTTTAGGCCAGTCAATATGCTCTTTGGCAAATTGTAACCTCTTCAGCACGTCTTTTGCGGGGGAGCTTCTTGCAGATAGCTTGGCTTCACATAGGCGTCTTCTAATTGTAACAGTCCTCACAGGTAACTTTAGACCTTCTTTGATCTTCCTGGAGCTGATTGTTGGCTGAGTCCTTGCCATTTTGGCTATTCTTCTATCCATTCGAATGGTAGTTTTTCGCTTTCTTCCATGTCTTTCAGGTTTTGGTTGCCATTTTAAAGCATTTGCGATCATTTTAGCTGAGCAGCCTATCATTTTCTGCTTTATATGTTTTCCCCTCTCCAATCAACTTTTTAATCAAGGTACGCTGTTCTTCTGAACAATGTCTGGAACGACCCATTTTCCTCAGAATTTCAGAGAGAAATGCACTGTAACAGCATGTACATTTGCTGCCTTCCTTCCTTAAATAAGGGCAATAATTGCCACCTGTTTTTCAAAGAATGAATGACCTCACTAATAGAACTCCACACTGCAATTATTTTGAACATGCCCCTTTCAATTAGTGATTCAATTACACAGAATCAGCAGCATGCATGTCATGACTGTTGGGTCTGTTGGATTTCTATTACTCTACTACACCTGCTAGTAAATTATTTGCCATGTAGAAATATAATTTTTACCAAAAACAGTGATCAGGGTAGTGATGTCTGACTGCTATTATTTTGAACACAACTGTATATAATTGCTAATTTGCCACACAACCCATTTTGTAATTTAATGTTGTTTATAATAGCATTTTCATTTTAACCTTCACCCAGCAATGATATTGAAGAACAGGCAAAACAATTCAGATGTTGCTTCTTTGCAACCATAGAAAAATGTTTTGTTCAGAGCTCCTGTAAAAATCTAATTCCTGCCTAGAAAGTCAGATTTCAGATATACAATATCCATCTCTGTCCTCGAAGCTGAACTCCAAGAAAACCACTAAATATATGGATGTTCAGCATTGATAATACCTGCAATGTAGATAATATCTGTAACATCTGGCTATGGAGGATCAGGTGACAGTGTTAGTGGTTGGCTCACATGTGGGTGGAGAGAAAGCAATCCCTATGTGAACTCTTATAGAAATTCTAGCAGAGTTCACAAAGGCTGTTTTTCCACCCAGCAAGTAAATAGAGAAGCAGGGGATGGAAGGAAAATACACTATATTGCCAAAAGTATTGGGACACTCTCCAAATAATTGGATTCAGGTGTTCCAATCACCTCCATGGCCACAGCTGTATAAAATCAAGCACCTAGGCATGCAGACTGCTTCTACAAATATTTGTGAAAAAATGGGTCGCTCT